ATCAGCTATGGGTAATGGTTATACAAATTGATCAACATAACTAGTACCACTAAGTTTGACACTAGAAAAAGGGGAAAATGATAGCTACACTATTATACATAATTTTACAACGGCAACAGCCAAGATACTAAATTAATCATAAAAATAAGGGAGCAGAGCTGTTGATCCTACTTGTTGTTGTTGAGTCAGTTCTGACTTACGGTGACCCTGTGTACAACGGAATGAAACACTGCTCAGTCCGGTGCCATCACAGTTGTTGCTGTGTTAGAGCCCATTTCTGTAGCCCCTGTGCCAATCCATCTCATTGAGGGTTGTCTTTTTTTGGTGACCCTCCACTCAAACAAGCATGAAGTCCTTCATTTAGAGTTATGGTATTAGGGGGTCTGTCCAGTAAATTAGCATATATTGTTTTCCAGTTCTCTGTTCCACCTCCTGGTTTGGTGAGTGGTACCTGGGGTCTTAAAAGCTTACAAATGGCTGTCCAAGATCCAAAATTGGTCTCTGTTCTGGGACAGTAGAGGAAGCAGGTGACCAAGGAATCAGAAAGAAATGGACTGCAGGTCTAATTGCCTCCAAGACATGCTAACCTCTGCCACGACACTCGAAGAACAGAATGGTTTCTAGCTACCATTGCTAAACATTTTGATCAAGGACCCAGTAGATGAATCCTGATCAAAAAGAAAATGTGAAACAATTTCAAAATGTTATAGAAACTAGATTTACCAGACCCATTGAAATTGGGGGAACCCGCAGATCTACAGCCCTGAGATAATCTTTATGCTTAGATCCAAAACTATGCTAGGACATAATCTTTGAAACAAACAAGTTTAACTCAACTAGCAAAGGAAAAGCTCCCTGAGTACTATGCTCTTTAAAGAGTTATCTATATGACATTAAATTTACAACAGTAGCTCTAAAACACAGAGAAGGAATTCAGAGGACAGAGAATCTTAAGTTAATGCAGGTGACATAATATGCATAGACACAGAATGGTGACACAGTGCAAA